CTCCCTTGCAGGTCTATCTGCAGGTAGCAAAGTGCTGGTGAGGAAGATGCCATCCACCCTTGTCTCTAGTTGGGTGTTTCATAAGGTCTCTGGGAACTTTAAGGAATATTTTGAGGGGAGAAGACTCCTTCTTGTTGGCATTTGCCCTTTGCCTGGCTTTCTGAAAGGGTTTGTTTGTGTCTGCTTTGTAATAGAGTGTGGGCTGTATTTTACCACAGTGATTTTGTTCGCAGCTAGTAATTGCTAGTTAAATCTGGTCAAATGATGGTTGTTAGCAGGGTCTGTTTGAGCACAGATAACTTCAGATATTATTTGTGCAGAGGAGCAGTGGGGGCCAGGGTGCACTGGGATATTGGCACTGCTGGGGAGTCTTAATCGGCACAGCCTGGAGTAAGCCTCTTAGGATTATTTAGCCAAGTTTCCTAGTTATCATTATTATTATTGCTTTATTTAGCAGTTACAAAGGGTGTTTAACTAGGCAGGGTCCACAACATGCTTGATGGGCTCAGCCAGGCTTCCCCAGCAATCAAGGGCAGAGATCTTTCAGGGGAAGCAGCCTCCTTGCTGGTAGCTGTGCATCAGCCAGAAGACAGCGCCTTGCATGAGCCAAGGAGCATGACACATGTTGCTTTTCAATTAACCCCCTTCCCATGTGCACAGCCATGCTGGAGCTAAGCTTGTTTGAAGAAGAAAGAAATATGTTTCATAGCCACTAGCAGAGTGGACTGAAGACAGTGTAGGTCCTGAGTCATGCCAGAGGGCTGGAGGGGTCTCTTCCAGCAGCGTTGGTGGAGCTGGGCTGGCAGTGTGGGTGTCCTCTGTTCCTGGCCCTGCAGCCAGGTTCAGCTGGCATTACCTCCTGCCACCCTGTCATGCCTAAGGCTGTGAGTACTTGCTATGGCTTAACGCAGGCTTAAAAATGGCTGGGGAAAAAGCAAAAAGAAAGCTAGTTCTGTGCAGGCTGATGCTGGTGCTGCCTTGTGTCATCTCTCTGGATGACTGTCAAACCTCCCTGCTCCCAACCTACAGTGGGTCCACCTGAGTTCAAGGATGTGGGAGATCCCGAGATAGATCCTCCAAACAGAGACTTCAATTTGGCATCAGTTCTTCATGCACTCTTCAGGCTTGTGTCTTCTCCAGCAGCACTGGCAGAGCAGAGGGTTTCTGTGAGATTGTTTGGGTTTGAGCTGATGAAATGTTACATAAAGAACCAGTGGGTCAGTCATTGAATCTCTGGTGAGTGATGGGGATATGCAGTCCTGCTGCTGTGCTTTTCATTTGGAAAGGAATTGATTAAACTGGAATCAGCCCTTGTTCTTGTTTAAACCTAGAGTAACTGACAGCAGAATTTGATGCTTAGCATTCGAAACAAATTTGGTTGAAGCATGTCCTGAGGACAGCCTGTATTTTTGGATGTGTGTTTAATCTATGTGCTACTGTTTTGTTTGCTGTAGGAATGCCCGGTCACATGAGGAAGCTGGGCTGCTGCATGACTCTGCTCAGGGCACAGGGTAAGTGAATGACACAGGCTTTGTTTGGGATGTGCATAAGTCTCTGCTTATGCCCCTTGTTCAGGGCAACTTTTAAAGTCTAAGCTGTCCAGGGACAGGATCCTTTTCTGAGTCTGGGCTGGAGTTGGAGTGAGGGCTTCTGCATCCCGCATCCCAGCTTGCATTATGGGATGCTTTTGGCACACCAGCCCATGCCTTCATCAGATGTGGGCAGCTGAACCACTCTGTTGCACCTCAGAACAAGCTGCTGAAGTGCAATGTCACGTGTGCTGAGCTCAAGGTGTTGCCACGACTTGAACACACACCACTGGGAGGAAACACAGCTGTTGAGAGGGGCGATGTGCTCTTCTCCATCACCCCGTTCCTACTTTGATGTTGACTCTGTAATGATCACCTTCACCTTCTCTAAAGGATGTCCTCCCTTCCTGCAGGGCTGGGGTACCCCCCTGCAGAGTGGCTCTGCTCCCTGCCAGGCAGAGCTCTGGGTCCTGCTGCTGAAATCAGCAACATAATGTTTGTTAACCTATCTTCCCTCTTGCGGGGCTAGTGAGGAAACCAGCATTCCCCTTTTGGGGAAATGAAGGCCATGTGCGTGGGCGCTGCAGTAGCTCGGAATAACCCCAGCAGAGCAAGGGATCAAATCAAGTCACATTCCAGGGCATTAGACAGACGGTGGGAATTAAAAGCTTTACCTGGAAACTAGTTTTGTATCTCCAAGCCCTGCTTTTGTCTCCCAGCCTAACTCTATTTTTGTCCCTTTTACCTTCCGTGTTCTTGTGAATCATGTATGTCAGTGCTTGGTGCCTGGTTGTGCAGCCAGCCCCAGCCATGTTTGGGGAGCCCTCAGTAAATATCGGGATGTGCAGCCCAGGAGGAAACATTCAGGCAGTGTGAGATGATAGAAGAAGTATGGTTTATCAAAACCAAGCTGCTCTGGGACTCATTAAAAGCTAAGGAAAGGCTCCAGCTGCTTTCAGTAGGCTTGGGATTGGTGAGAGACTAGGAAGTCCCATCTGGGCTATTAGCAGAAAGTCTTGTTTTTGTTTCTTTCAGTCTATACGGTTTGGGGACAGGGTCTCCCTTAGGGCCAGTCCTGCCCTGACAGCAGGGAGGTCTGCCTGCTTCAGCTCTGTCTTTGCTTTTCCCTTAATCTGGTCCCTGTGTGCACCCTGCCCCTTGCGTCATTGGTTGCTCTCTGCATCCCTGGGTGAGCTGAGCATCTCCCATCATTGCTGCTGGGCCTTGATCCTGGCTGTGGGCTATCAACGGTGTGGGGCAGCTTTTGGGGTGCTGTATGATGTGGGAGGAGGCAAAGCTCACAGGGCTCACCTTAATTCCCAAAGCCTTGGTTTTCTGACCTATAAAACAGTCCTTCTCCATTTGGGTCTTGTGCTCTTTGAGGAAACATTTGAAATAATGATCTTTTTATAATGGTAATAATGACATTAGACTCTCATACATAACTTTATTTTATTTATTTATTTATTTGCCCTTTCTTAGAGGAAATTGCTGCTATTTTCTGGGCATCAGGCCCATGTTTTTCTTTGTTCTGCCTGAGTCCACACCGCATCCTGGCTGCTGCTCCCAAAGATGGAGCCTGTATGGATGAGCACATCCAGGCTGCTCCAAACCCAGAGGCAGCTCTTTGTGCCTCGCATGATGTTCCCACCCATTGTCTAGCCACCCGCGACTTTTTCAGCCTCGACCACATGAACGCGAAGCAGGTGGTGTTTTCATCTGAATTAATACACTAGGAGTCCTTGGATGTGGGGAGGGGGTTAAACTGTCTCAGGCTGGATCTGCTCTCGGACCTTGCTGCAAGAGAGCAGTTTGGCTCCTGGCAGAGCAGCAGGGATCACCTCTGTGCAATAGGCGGGAGCCGCTTCGCAGCGAAATTGTAGCAGAGAGAAGAAGGAGCGGCTGAGCTGTCTCTTGTTCTCCCGGGTCATTAGAGCATCCGTGTGCATCATATCTAGGTACAGAGTGATGACAAGTTTGGATGCTTCAGGAGAGAAATGTTTGCTTCCCGGCGAGAAGTAAATTAGGTTAGTTTGCCTAGTGTCAGTAGATTATGAGTCAGGGATGTTCATTAACATTTACCAAAATCTGAATGAAAACTGAATTCTTCATTAGACAAAAAGCCTTGGTATTGTTTTGCTGGGTTTTGGGGAAAATTCTTTAAAGAATGGAGCTTTATTTTTAATAGACATCTGCATGCCAGCCTGCAGGAGACTGCAGTTCTGTGCATTGATATGGGATCTGTGTGTTGTCAAGTTACTTGCCTTTATCAGCTGTGATCGGCTTGACGTGATGGTGGGTGACCAGCACACTCAGTGTGTCCCAGACCCACCACACCGGAGCAAGCAGAAAGTCTGCACTGGGGGACTTACCCCTACAAAATATTTCAGACACATTTTCCTGGTCAGGGTGAGTTTCTATGCAGCATTTTGCACTATGTTCTCACAGCATTTCTCTTCTGGCACTCCTTGCTCAGAAGTCCACTTCCAGTAGCTTGTGGGACCACAGATTTATCAATTTGAACGCAGGAGGAGATTAAGTAAAAGCACCAATTTGAGACCAACTCCCTGAGCAAACCACGGCTCAGCATTTACTGAGGAGCCTGTGGCAGGCTGCAGGGAGCCTGTCCCCTTCCAGGCTGGTGATGGGGCCCTGTCCCTGCCTGGAAAGGTTGCCAGAGGAGTGCTGAGCGTGGCCACGCTGGCTGTGAGCCCTGGCCCAGCCCATCTCTCCCTCGTCTGCGATGCTCTACCGGCTGCGTAACTCTGTGCCGGCAGCCACAAGCTGGCTGGGAGAGGCTTTGCTGCGAGCAAGTGCCATGTGTTGCTTCAGTCCCGGGTGCATTCCCAGCCCCAGATCCTGTGGGCAGCTCGCCCAGCCCACCCAGCTGGTGCTGAGCTCCGGAGGGGACACAGCTGTGGGCTGGGGCCAGCTACGGCAGCGGGGTGCCCAATCTGGGCTGCCCCTGGGAGCGGGCAGCGTGCCACCCGCGCCCCTGCTCGGTATGCAGCAGAGTACCTCCCTGGCACGGCCCCGCAGTGAGCCGGGAGGACACGGAGGCTACGCTGGTCCCCGGGGGCTGGGGCAGCCCTGCTTCCCTCTCCGCGGCGCACCGGGGATGCAACGCAACAGGACAGCGGCTCCTGACCCCGTGCGGTGACCTTCCCCTCTCCGGAGAGGTCTGGCAGAGACCGACCTCGCTTTGGCAGGGAGATGGGGTGAACAGGTGTGGGGAGGTGGGCTTCGACCCAACTTCTGCTTTGCACCCCCTGGGCATGGTGGGGCTTTTCTGGGGAAGGGGCGGGGGGGGGCTGACTGCCCACGCTGGTGGCTGTGTGGCCGGGGAGGCAGGCCGGCCACAGCCCTCATTCCTCCGCTCCTCGGTACCGCTTTGTTGCTAGCTGGTGACATCACCCGAGAGCCCACCCCCTGCCTCTTATCCGTCTCTCCGTCTCGCTCATTTATTCACAGGCAGCGCTGGCAGGATCAGGGGCTGTGCGAGAGCCAGGGCTGGCGGCAGCAGCATGCGTGCGGTGTCTGAGGCTCAGGGCACGAGAACCACGTAAGGTGCCCACTGGAGCCTCCCCCCTCACCTGCCTCTGCCTCCCCTGGCAAAAACTTCACGGCTCTCTCACGCACAGTCCGGGCTTCTCCGGGGGGGCTTGGCACCGACAGCCGCATGCATGACACTCCGAAAAGGAGAGAAAATGACCATAAGTATCCAGGAGCACATGGCTATTGACGTCTGCCCCGGCCCCATCAAACCCATCAAGCAGATCTCCGACTACTTCCCCCGCTTCCCCCGCGGGCTCCCCGCCGCCGTCGGCCGCAGCAGCACCCTGCGCTCTGCCGTCAGCCAGCCCTCCGTCAGCCCCGCCGAGGCCCCCCGTGAAGAGGACGAGGACGTGGATCAGCTTTTCGGGGCGTATGGCACGACACCCACCGAGCAGCCGGCCAAGTGCCAAGCACCCGAGGAGCTGGTGGACCCCGAGGGCTACGAGTCTGACGACTGCAGTGAGTTCCTGAGTTTCTATGGGAGTTTTCTGGGTGCTGAGGGCAAGGGTGGGTCTTAGGACTGGTCCCCCATCTTGCCTCCCAAGCCGTGCACCCTTCCCAGCTGCTGGCCACGCTGTCCATCCCTGGGCTTATGTTGCAGCAGTGACAAGCCCTCTGCTCTAGCCAGGGAGGCTGTCACAGCACTGCTCCAGCGCTGTCCCTGGGTGGAGGGAGGCCCTGGGAGTGTCCCTGCTGCAGCCAGGCTGGCCACTGAACCCAAACTAGGGAAGTCTCCCAAGAGCCACCAGTTGCTGTGCTTTGCCGTTGTGGTTGATGCACTTCTCTGCCTCGTCCCTGCTCGGCTCCTTGCCTCCAAAGGCTGCCAGCCAGGCTCAGACCCTTCGGTTAATCTGTCTCAGTGGTGCAGCCTGCTCCAGCCACCCTGCTGATTAGCTGGCAATACGCTCCAGCATCGCCCGGCTCCAGATTGGGGAGATCTGTTCAGAATGATAGCCGCCCGGGGAAGTCTCTGCCCTCTCCCTCAGCCAACTCCAGCGTGTCATTCCTCACCCTCTGGCTTCAGACAGAACCCTGCATGAGACCAGGAGGGGCTTTTCAACAGAAGGCTTTGGTTCTGGTAGATGCAGGTGTTTGCAGTGAGGTTTAACCCCTCCCCACCCAAAACGTCCTTCCCACCCAGCTCGGTGGAGCTTGCAGGCTGCAAAGCAGCTGCTGTCTGGCTCTGTCAGCCACAGTGGGTAGTGTTGCTTTCCTTGAGGTCGGTTAAGACCCAAGGTCTCGATTCAGCCCAGCATTTAGGGGCCAGATTCTGTGAGGGGCTGAGCACAAAGTTTGAAGCCGAGAGATGCCGAGGAAGGGAGTCAGTGCTGCTGAGAGGTGCTGTGTGCTCATCCTGGGGGAAGGAGGGAGGCTGAGCTGTTTACAGCCCAGCGCTGGGCAGGCGGTGGCTTTTGCTGTGCAAAATGTCACAGCCCTGCCTCGGCATCGCTCCCTCGCTGCTGGGCACTGGGCTGCTGCCATCTATGCCAAACCCCAGAGCATGACCCCAGGGAGAGCTCCTGGAAGGGCTGTGCTTGCTGCGCAAGGCAGCACGGCAGCCCCAGTGCCCCCCTCTGCCTGCTGACCACCAGCTCTGGGAGAGTCTGGGGCTCTGCGTGCAAGCCCAAACTCTCCCCATCCCCGTGTCAGGGTCACGCTCTCTTTGGAGGAGGCAATAGCCGCTGCACTCCAAGGGAGAACATCTCTGCTAAGCCACGTTTATCCCAGCTGGGCAGTTAACAGTGACTTTAACCGGATTTGGGTTATTTGCTGCTCTAATTATTAGATTATCTTTGCTCATCCCGGCAATAGAAATGGGAGCAGCTGAGCTTCAGGGGGCAGGAGCTAGGGCAGAGGTGTGTGCGGGAGCTGAAGCTCTCGGGGCTCTGGGGTGCAGCGCTTGCACTGGGTGACTTGCAGGGAAATTGCCCAAGGTGCTGTGTTCTGCATTTAGCTCCAGTGGGGATGCTGGAAGCGGCTCGGCTCTGTGCCAGGGGCTGGCGGGTGTTTGTCTCACCCCGGCTGGTGTTAAGAAGAGTGTTTCTTACAGCGTAACAGGTGTCAGGCAAACTGCTGAGGCTGTTTTGCCAGATGTGGTGGGTTTTCAGCTGACAAAGACACAGCGGTGCCAGGAGCAGAGTGGGAAGGTGGGACTGCTGGTGTCACATCTCTGCAGACAGCACGGGATGGCCCCAGCTACTCTCAGGGCACTGGTTGGCATAAATGTGGAAGATGAGACCGTCACTCCTCCCATGTTTAGCAGCCAAGTTGCAAAGCCAGATGAGGGCTTGCTGGCCCCATTTCCTGGGTGGGGAGCTGGGAGGGGATTCGTGCAGCCTGACTTGAGCCATTTGCTATGCTGGGGAGTCTTTCAGCTCCCCCACATCCCTGGCAGGTGATTCAGGGCTGCTACATTAGTCACCTGCACGAAATTTCCCCTGGGGAACCTGTCTCTGCCTGTATGGCAGGACGGTGTTGGGGTTTAAGTGGTGTCAGTTCCCTTGGGTGACACACAGGGTTCAGAATGTTGACCGAGGTCTCTGGGGATGGTGGTGTCAGAGCCTGAGTGCAGCACCCACCAGTCGAGGTTTTGCTGGGCAGGGGGGCGTCTTGCCTCACTCCCCAGAGATGCTCCCAGCACATCTCTGGAAAGATGCAGGGAGAGGGATTTTGCCTTGGCAGGATCCATTGGGAGGAGGAGAGGATGGCTCCTTTCCCGTTTGTCCCACCTGCCTGTGGGTTTCCCTCCTCCAACACCAAAGCAGAGGTGCTGGCTGGCCGGGTGGGAGGAGTAGAGCTGCCCCTGCCTGAAGAAATGCGTTTGGCTGGGTTTCCCCTACACTCATTCCTGCCCGGGGTTACTTCTCCAGCCTGGTACTTCTGGGTTTCCAGCAGCACCAGGCTGATGGGTGACGGGGCCGTGTTGCTCAGTCACTGCAGGGTGGCATCAGGCAGGGGCTGGATCCCCTGGCAGGGCTGCAGGGAGCGATGCAGGGTAGGTTCTGCCTGTGCCCTTCTGCAGCTCCCCTGGGCTGGCTCCCTGCACTGCATTTCTTAATCCTTTGCCAAGTGATGTTCCTGACCCCACCAGCAATCCTGGGAGGTGCCGGTGGAGCTGGCAGGAGCTCCTCTCCCGCAAACAACCTCTCCCTGGGATGTGGGCAGCCCTAGAACAGGGCAGCCCTGGGAGAAGCATCAGTGTCTGCTCCCATCCAAGCAGGGTGGCCTGACCCAGCGGTTTGGCATCCACAGGGAGCAGGGAGCAGTGTGTGCATGTGTGTGTTTGGTGCTTTGGAAAACCAAGAATCCCAGGGCTGCAGGAGGCAGGTGGGATCTGTCCAGAGATGAGTAGGGACCCGGACAAGGTGCGGTAGGGTGGGAGGGGACCTGCTGACCAGGGTGTTTGCCACAGGCAGATGGCACTGGTCACTGGGAGGCTGATGCAGAGGCTTGATGGCTCTGGGGCATGTGGGGCTAAGGCCAGCGGTTCTGGGCACTGCAGTGCAGCCCTGTGGAGCCAGGGAGTGCAGTGCTCAGGGGAGCTGGGGAGGTGCCAAGGAAAACAAGCGTGGTCCCTGTGGGGTAGCTGTAAGCAGCCTGTTGAATGCAGCGAGTGGCAGGGAGCAGGCAGGGCCGGGGAGCTGACAGAGCAGATAATGAGCAGAGACGTTGGGGCTGGCCCTGGGAGCACTGGGAATCACGTGGAGCCAGCCTTTCCCATCAGACCTGCCAGCAGCAATGCTGTGAGGATTTTCAGGGTTGTGTTCAGCATCCTCTGCCATACCAGGGCCTTTGGGAGACCCCTGGGAGAGGGACTCGTCGCTGCCCTGTGCTTTCTCTGTTCCACCTCTGCAGGGGCTCTTCAGGACTGGAGCTTAAGCTTGACAGAGCAGGACTCTTCCCGCAGTGGGTTTGTCCCCAGCAAAGCTGCTGAGGAAGGGGGAATGAGGCAGGAGAGGTGGGAAAATGGGCGTTTGGTACCAGTGGACCAGTGCTAGCATCTGCTGTGAGCTGAGAGGACCAGCAGGGATTTGGGGATGGGAGGCGGGGGATTTGCTTTTACTACCTCGGGACACCCGGCTCTCACCTCATCTTTGGTTCTCCCGTCTGGACCCTGGTGACAGCAGCAGTGCCTTGTCCCCTGGGGTCCCCAGCCACCAGGGATGCTTCCTACCCAGTTGGGTGGCACACTGCCAGGGGAACTTGGTTCACAAGAAAAATAAGCAAATGCCAGCTAGATGGCAATGTGCCACCTGCAAGGAGCTGGATCTCACCTCCCATCTCCCCTGATTCCACACAAATCACTGCCCCTTGAGTGGCTGTGCTTTCCCCTCACCAGCACCAGTGTGAATTTGTACCTGAGGGATTTTTAAAGGTCTCTGAAATCTCTGCATAAGCAGCACAGAGGTAGAAACATGGTCTCTCTGAGGGAGCACAGCCATGGCTGCTTTTGCTGGGGGACAGCACTGGAGGAAGCAGTCATCCTTCTGTAATGTGCCAGCAAGTTTCTAGCCCTTGAAAAAATGTTCTGTTCCCCTGAGCTGCTGTTTGCCTTTGGAGCAAGGCTGTGGCCGGTGCTGGAATTTCCTCCTTCCTCTATATGTGTTTGGCTCTGGGTTTCCAGATGGGGAGGCAGCCCAAGAGCAGGGGATTGCAGTGGGAGCTGGCATTTCTGGAAGAGCTGCCCCATACTGTTCCTGCCAGTGCTTCAGGGCTGTTTATATATGTACAAACCCAGCCAATTTTATAGCGTGCCCAGCTTTATTCATGGGAGAAGCAGGCTCGCAAGCTCCCAAGCTGCAGTAGCATAAAAACGACTTCTCCAAACTACAGCTGAGAGGCCTGTCCTGGTGCACGGCTGCTCGTGACGCCTGCTGCAAGGCAACGGCACAGAAGTTATTTAGGAAGACTCTTATTTTGAGCAAAGAAGATAATTAGGCAGGCAAAGCCGTCACGCAGATATTAATTACTGGCTGCTTAAAGACGTAAAGAAGAATGAAGGTCTTAAGGGGTGCAGGGTTTGCAAGTCACCTGGCAGTGCTTTTGGCCAGACAGGAGGAGGCAGGAGAGATGATGAGGGGAAATGTGCATTGAAACGATGAGGATATTTACTTCTGAAACGCAGCTCCTTAGCATATGTTGCCACTGCTATTTATAACTTTTGAATCGTCTTTTCAATCCAGATAAGGCCAAAAGAAGTACTTTTTTACTCGGGAAACTAAACAAACCACTGCTGATTTCGGCAGAGCCTGGAGCATCGTTTTGCCAACTGTACCACAACCTGATCTGCTTACACCAAAGAAATGTGTGTAGGTACCAGGCAGTGTCAGACCCGAGGTTTAAGAGTATCGGGGAGCTTGTAGCCCTCTCAAGGTAGACATGGTGTCTTAACCAAGGTGACTTTAGATTAGATTTTGTCTGGTTTCCCGTGGGATACCCAGGTATCAGGAAGGTGCTGG